TGTCTTATATTAGGGGGGCCCAAAACTGGACACAGTCTAGATGTGTCTGGATGTGCTCACCCAAGTGCTCAGTGCAGGAGGATCATCACCTCTCTTGATCTACAGGCTATTTTCCTGCTAATACAGCTTCAAGTCCTGTTGGCCTTCTTTGTGGCGTGATCCCCAGGGCCTTTTCTGCAAAGCTGCTCCCCAACCAGGCAGTCCCCGGCCCACATCATTGCAGGGGGTCCTGCCTCCCCTGTTGAAGGACTTGGCGTTTGTCCTGGTTGAATTTCATCCTGTTCTTGTTGGCCCACTCCTCCAGCCTGTCTGGGTCCCTCTGGATGGCAGCTCTGCCCTTGAGTGTAGTGACTGGTCTCACCAATTTGGTGTCATCTGCAGACTTGCCAAGAGTGCAGGCCATCACCTCCTTCAGGCTGCTGCTAAAGATATTAAACAGGACAAATCTTAATATAGACCCCTGTGACACTCTTCTTGTAACTGGCCTCCAGACAGAATATGACTACTACTACCCTCTAAGCCTGACCATCCAACCATTTTTTTTTTTCCCATCTGGTTGTCCACTCATGCGGCTCATAACGTCCTACCTCAAATACAAGAGTAGTTGTGGGAGACAGTGTCAGATATATATTCCAGTGCTCTCCTAGACTAGTCACAGGAAGCAGCTGGTACCAACTTCTTGCATGCGGACATCAGTTTGAATTGCAGTTGTTACAATAGGGCTGAGTCAGCTGTCTAAATAAGCCATTCATCTAGTCCCAGTCTAGATGTGCTTTGTATATATTATTGATGTCCTCCTCGGAAGGTCGCTAGGTTCTGCGCAGCCCAGATTTTCGTATGCAGTAAAATATAAGGGAAAATCTGTATTGAAATGTAAACTCCCTCCCCAAGCTCCAGCATAACATCTCTCTCCAAAAAGTCTTAATGCTTAACCTGAAATTCAAACCTAGCTGCTACGTGTATTTTAAAGTTTGTGCTGCAAAGCAAAATTAAAAACTTCTGACAGAGAGGCCCTGAGTGGCAGAGGCAAGAGAGAGTTCATTCTATCTTGAGTGTATATTCACAAATAAATCATGCATATTCACACATGCAAACTCTTAATTCAGTAGTAGCTTTCCTCCTTCAGGAGCTCTGTAGGTCAAACCTCTTGTGATGCCATCAGTAAGTGCTATGAGTCAGGAATTTGCATTCCTTGGTGATATAGGGCAGCAGTATGGAACTGTGCAAGTGGCTGAGATGCTTTCTTCATAGACAAATTAAACGAAAAAGGAGAGTCTAAGAATGCAAAGATCTGCATTTAATCAGGGAAATGCCCAGTGGGCATAACTTTCAAAGAATGGCAGAGAGTTGCATTCAACTCTTCCCGTTCAAATGATCGTTAACAAATTGCATAGAAGACCAAATTGTGTCAGGCCCGCTTTTTACTATTAAAAGAGATGCAAAGCAATCTTTAGGTCCTGACTTTGATTTGAAGGCTGTAATTTACACTAGTTTCTGCATGAAGAGTTGTTTGCATGATGACTAAACAGATGCTGGCTTCATTTTATAGAACAAGCTTAGATTTAAGGTTTAAAAAGCAAAAACCTCCTCCCTTTCACCTGTTATTTAATACCCAACACAACTTCAAAGCATTACGCCCTGCAGCCATGCTGATTAATAACCTTATCTCCTCCTAGGCAAGTAATTTATCACTTGCCTTCATCTGCTAAAGCAGATGCTATAAAGTCTTATTTCATGCTGC